GTGAGGGAGGGGCCGGGCGGGCAGGCGGGGCGGCCAGGTGGCAGGGTGGGCACGCACCATGCCGTACAGGAGGTCGAGGGCCCGCAGCCGGATGGACTCGTCCTTGTCGTCCAGGCACTGCAGGACAAGGTCCTTGTGCGCCTGCACGGACTTGGGGTGTGTCCTCAGGATCTTGGACATGGCCAGGAGCCCCAGGTACTTCACTGCAGAGACAGCGCAGCGCTCTCAGACGTGGACGAGGTTCTGAGAGTGAGGCCGGGCCTGCAGCCCCACCCCAAACCACCTGGGCCCCGTCGGCCCATGTCTCACAGGCACCAGGCCCACCTCGTTGCCCACCTCAAGCAGCCCAACGCACCGTCATCTAGATTGGGTCTCAGCCCGTCTTTAGGTCAGCGTTACTGGCACACGACAGGCCTGTGGTCTACACCCGCCAGAAGGCTTCTACGCTACAGTGGCAGAGACCACACAGCCTGCAAAGCTGACAAGAATTACTATCTGGCCCTTTCCAGGAAAAGTTCGGCAACTCCTGCTCAAAGCAAACAGACCTGGATTCAAAATGAGCAGCCAGGGAATTCCCTGGCTGTCCAGTGGTTGGGATTCTGCACTTCCACTGTTAAGGGCCCAGGATCAATCCCTGGTCTGGTTGGGGTACTAGGATCCCAGCAGCCACAAGGCGCAGACGAAAAAAACAAAAAAAAACGAAAAACAAAAAATGAGCAGCCCTCGGAAGCCCTCTCCACCGTGGTCCTGGCAGCAGGGGCGTGTGACTGGCTGGAACCCTCGACAGCACATGTCGGCTGCAGGAGGTGCACAAGTTGGCACACGAGCAAGACGTATAGCCGCTCGCCCTCGCTCGTCAGGAGCCCCACGCGCCACCCCATCTGGTTACCGCCGGGGGCGCCTGCAGCATGCCGGGGGCTCTCCTGCACGCCCAGCCTCCCCCTCCCCCTCCCGGGGCTGAGCTCGCCCTTTATGTCTCAACTGTGCTTCCGCCGGCCTCCCCGGCTCCTCCCTGCAACTGGGTCCCAGCTCCCTGTGGATGTGGGCACAGGGCCCAGAGATTAAAGACCTTTCCCAGCGGACACGGCCGAGTGACACCCTGAGATGCCGGCTGGAAGGAACCCGCCGTGCAGACGACGGGGCCGTACCCAGGGAGGAATCTGCCAGCCACGCCAGGCCCGCTCTCCTCTCGGGTGGGGACGAGCCCTCACTTGCGGAGGTCTAGGGCGCAGGGCCTGCAGGGCCTGCAGAGGGAGCAACTCACAGTTCTGATCGGAGTCTTCTATTAATATCCTCAGTTTCTGAACACAGAGCTGTAAAGAGGGGAGATGCCACTCGTCACATGTTCTAAACCAACGGCAGAGTCCCTGGGGCCTAGGAGAGGAGCCCCTGGTCCCATGACATACCTGGATGCTGGCACTATGGTTGGGCATGCCAGACGACAGCGAGATGAGCACTGAAACAGATGACTGGGGTGAGGGCCCCGTGTGACCAGCCCCACTGAGAACCCCAGGCTGGGTCTCTGCAACCGAGAGAGCAGACCACAGGCCCCGGGCACCAGGGGTCCTTGTCCAGGGCAGGTCTGTGGGCCAGCCCTCAGCTGAGACCCGCTGGTCCCGCGATGCACGATGGACCAGGCCTACCTCCCGTCTGCATCCCCACTCCCTCTGCCCATAACCAGGGCCATCTGCGATCCTGCCACACCTCGGCCCTCCCCATGGGCCTTTCCAGACGCAGGGGCCACTCTCTGGCCAGCCTGCCCGGCTCCCAAGTCCCACACTCGCCCTTCGTCTCCCTTTCACTGTCGCTGACCCTCAGCGACACTCACAGCAATCACGAGCGGGGACCCCGGGCCAGTTTCCTGGGCTTCACTGAACTTAAGGCTGCCCACGGGCTGTGAGGAGCATCCGACAGTTTAGGGCAGGGACAGGCAGGCAGCAAGAAGCTGAACCCTTGGGCCACCAACTCCCTCTGCCTATCTACAGGAAACTGGGCTGCAGGGACAAGTCACCAGGCGGTCTGATTGCAACTAACGGGCTCCACGAGACCTTCTGGGGAGCACGTGCTGCTTCCCTCTCGAGAACTCTCCTGGTTGTATGTCCTATGCTAAAGACGCCACAGGGGAAGCGGCCTGAGATTTGCTTTAAAATGCTCATGAAAAGCGGTCTTGCTGGTGGGTGTGGCAGATGCCACGGTGCAGTGTTTATCACTGGAGCCCGAGATTGGCAATGGCTCTGGCTGCAACCGTGTCCGAGCTGACACTTCCAAAGGGCCTGCAGATGGGCCGGGCCAAACAGCTTCGCAGCCGGGAACAAGGTTCTGGTGAGGCCCGGGGACCAGCTCCCCCGCCGGCGACAGCCCCCTGCTCCAGAAGAGGTCACCCCGGTGCTCACCTGCAATGACGGTGTTGACACACTCGTACAGAAGGGACATGGCAGACGTGCTAGAGAAGGAAACATAGGAGCCGGGAAGACAGGGCCGCCTGCCTCCCGCTCACCCCACCGAGACCCCTGGAGGCACCACCTCCGAGGAAACGCAGAGCCCAGGAAGCCTCGGGCCTGAAGGCCATGACGGTGACACCCCACCCTGGGCAGTGAGGCCATCAGATTCCTCCAAGGGACAGCAGCACCCCTTCTAGCCCTCAAAATAGAACTGAAATGCTCCCGCCACTGCAGCCCACACACGAATAACCTTTTGATTCTGCGACCCCCCATGAAGAGAAGCCAAGTTCCCCAAAGGCCTCTCTCCTCCAGCCCAGACCCTGCTGGCAGGCAGGAAGAACACGGAGTCGTGCCCCGTGTCATCCCTCGGGGGCGTCCAGGGCCACAGTGAGCACAGCCCAAGACGACCAGGGTGGGCACCAGGCACGTCCACTCCACTCTGAAATTCTCAGTGATGTTCTCAAGCCCAAATGCCCCAAACCCGACAGCACGGGCCACTAGAGGCAGTCCACATGAACGGTCATAGGACTGATGGCTTCTCGTAAATGCTCTGAAAACCACAAGCTACTATAAACCCGGCGACTGGTGATTTGTTTCAAATCAGCAACGTCCCAAGCCCTTGGCCACTTCCCAGGGGACCCCAGGAGCAGAATCTCCTGGCACCTGAAGCTTGGCCCCCACAATTCAACCACAGGCACCTGAAGTCGTGTAGAAGCTCCTAGAACATTCCAGAACTGGGCGGTGACACACTCACCTAGGGCTCTTCAATTAGACTGCTGAGGTCTACTTGTGAACCAGAGACTGGCTGGGACAGCTTTCTCCATCCTTTTTTTATTTTTAAAATATATCCCCATTGCTTGCCTATCTATCTGTCTGTCTGTCTATTTCTGGCGGTGCTTCACGGCTTGTGAGACTTTAGTTCCCCAACCAGGGACTGAACCCAGGACCTCGGCAGTGAGAACTCCGAGTCCTAACCACTGGACTGCCATGGAATTCCCTCTCCATCCTGTCTTGAATGTGCTGTCTGCAAACTGAGGAAGGGAGAGCCCAGAGACACGGCTCCTGGCGGCGGCAGGCCCTCAGTCCTGGGTGCCCCTCCACCCGCCCCTCCTTGGGGCACCCCTCCCACGCCCGCCCCAAGCCCTACCTGTGGATCAGGTTGGTGAGAGGCTCAATCAGCTTCTTACCCAACCTTGGCTCCAAGGGGGTCAGAGCACCAAACTAGGGGACAAGAGAGGCCAGTGGTCACCCGAAGCAGGGACGGGACGGCAGCCCGGGCGGGGCTCTGCTGGCTGGTGTGCCCAGGACACCCCAGGGGCGACACTTGCCAGTTTGATAATCTTAATGAGGACCCAGTTGTTGGTGGAGGAGGTCATGAGCTTGAAGAAGAGCGGAGCGAGGGAAAGGTAGTTCTTGGGGTTACGTCTGGCCAGCTCACAGATGACGTTGACTGCCGCCGACTGGACCCCTGTGAAGCGAGGGACGCCATCAGCAAGGGGGCGTCCTCCAGAGCAGGCCGGACCCTCGGGGTGTGTCCCCAGCAGGATCAAAGTCACTCCAGGTGCTCTGTCCGCCTCCCCCCGGGGCTGCCCCTGCTCATGCCCCCAGCCCGCCTTGCCTGCCCCTCGGCTCCTGACCCTAACCACGATGCTCCACACCCCGTGATCCTCTGCGATGCACAGCAGATTCTCCCGAGACAAGCAAAGATTTGGAGAAGCTGTTTTACATCTGCATGGCCTGGGGTCTCCCCAGAAGGAGTTACAGAAAAGGACAGGTGTAGGCAGGAGTGAACCCTGTGGTGTAGGACTGCCAATCAAGGCAGCAGAATAAACACGAGACTGCGAACATGCGGAGAGAGAGGCCTCCCCAGTGAGCGAGTGTGGTGTCTGCTACGGCCTGGAGGCAATGACAGCTGGCAGAAATAAGCACACCCAGTGGTCTTGGTTTCTAAATCCCACACCAGCTAACAATACTAGAGCTGTTTGGAGAAACGGCGGATTCCAGGACTGGCAGGAAAGTAGAAAGCGAACCTGGCACCTCGTGGTGCCAGAAAGTAAGAAGGTGCTCTATGGGGGAGGGCTAGGACGGGGTCCTGGGACCTAGTACCCCCCTCCACCAAGCCTTCACAGACGCTGGTGGAGCATCATGGCCCCACACGGGCCCCTTCTTAACTCAAGTCAACAAACCGGGATCAGGGTCCTCCAGCTTCTCCTTCAGGCGGGGAAAGGCAGGGCGCAGAGACTCAGGGTACTTCAGGAACACCTTGTACATGATCAGCACAGCCTTCTTCCGGATGTACGGCTTGGTGTGCGACATCTGCAGGGGCAGAGGGTGTCAGTCTCCCTGCTGACACCACTGCGCCCACCCTTCCCCGGTCCTTCCCGCACCCCCTGCTCTCCCCCCTCGCCTCCCCTCCCCTCCCACGCCTGCCCGCGTCTCGCCTCCATCACCTGGAGGATAACCCTCTCTCCAGCTCATCTGGCTTCTGGCCTCTGAGACCAGCCTGCAGGTTTCCTCCACTGCCCCCGCCCCCCAGCCCAGGGATTACACAACAGTGTCTTGGACAGAACCGAAACCTGCCTCCCTGAGTCCATGACCCCAGCTTGCCCTCTGGAGGCTGAGACCGGCCTCCTGGACTCACTGGGGTGCACTGAGGGACAGAATGAGGGAGGGGGGCCCCAAATGGAAGGTCACGCTGGAGAGAGCCTCCACCTGTCAACACTGGCCTCGGACTCTTCGGGCCACCAAGACCTGTCCCCAGAGCAGTGCCCCTTGCCCGGGCCTCAGCCCCCTCCACACCTCTGCACTGCACCCCTGGAGCTCCTGTCCTCCTTCGGGACTGTGCTCCGGCCGGGAGGGCCTCTCGTCCGCAGGTGGGCGCACTCCTCACCTGTCAGGGCCCCAGGCAGCCTGGCCCTAAGGAAGCCACCCCCGCCCCCATGACCTGGCACCGAGACTCACTGTGATAGCTCACTACCGCCCCCCTGTGGGCTCATGACCGCTTTCACCTAGAGAGCTCCTCACACTTCCCGAAGAGGGCCTGAAGATCAATACTGTCGGCTTCGCAGGCCAGAGTCTCCATCTGACTCTGCCCTTGCTGCTGGGAAGCCCACCGTGTGGACGAAGGGGCGGGGCCATGTGTGGACAAACCACTTATAGCAGGTGGTGACTGGATGCAGCCCGGGCCGTGCTATGCTGGCCCGGGATCTAGAAGCTGCATGTACCCAAAGCCTTCCGGACCGCGGGCCAAGATCTGACCATCTGCACAGAGAACGGGCCACGTACGGACAGAACCCTCCTGGGAGGAACACGCCACCCTTCCACGCTGCTTTATTGTGGCCGGAGGGGGAAAGCCTCCCAATCATGGAGAATCTGGCGTGCAGGCAACCCTCTGAGGGCTGTGATTTCTTTCGGTTTTTTTTTTTTTTTTTTTTTAGGGTCAATTCCAGTTTTGTTTTTATTTTTTAAATTAATTTTTATTGGAGTCGAGGTTTGTGATTTCCAAGAGCACGTCCACATTTCAGAACAAAGTTCTTACCCACCCTGGAGATCAAGGCTGGCTGGGGTTTCTGCCTTTTGGATGGACTGGGCCCCAGACAACAGATTTGCTCAGATGAAAATAAAAAGTTCCCTCACCGGAGAACCACCTGACCACGCTGCCTGCCAAGACCACTGCCATCACCACCCATGCCTCAGAACACAGCTGATGGGTCGTGCGCTCACGACAGGCCGTCGTCCCCAGCCAGACCCTGCCCCTCCCCAGCAGGACCATTTCAGAGGAGGTGAGGTGTGAATGCTGGGCCCCACCAGGTGATGGAAGGGGAGACGGTGACTCGGTGTCCCAGCTCATCCTGGGGACTCAGGCCGTTTCCGCCCACCCAAGTGCCCTCAACATGACATTACAACCTCGGTTTTCCAGGCACGTCAGGGAGCAAAAGCCAAGGGGGCCGGCCACGCTCCCAGACTCACCAGTGTCATGATGTCGTTGGCCAAGTCTCTGGCAAGATCTGGGGTAACAAAACAGGACAGGCCAGTCAGCGCAACGCCAGTGTCGTACTGGCTGGGGCTGCTCAGGTCCTGGAAAGGGAGGGAGAGGGTTAGAGGCAGGCGCCCACTGCGCCTCGCTGGGTCCCAGCTGCGCCCGCCAGCCCTGCTCTGGGTCTGGAGACGGGCTTGGACGAGGACTCACAAGAAGCAGCCAGCTCCACGCTCTGTCACCGAGCAAGAGCCGGGACAGCTCTAAGGGGAGGGCTGTCTTGGGTCCACCCCTCACTCCAGGGGTGCAATGGGGCAGAGCCAGCGCCACCCACGGCTTCCCTATGGGAGAACCCAAGGGCCGAGGAAATGGTGCAGCCAGACGGGCTCCGACCGCCCAAAGGCACAGAGTGGGGGCCCCCCAGGGTGGAACCCCAGAACCTCTGCTTCCATTGGGGTGTCTCCCCTACTACAGCCAGGGGTGACTCCTCTGGGCCCCTCCCCAAAGCGGAGAGAAGTTTCCACCAGAGCTCCACCCCTCAGGGGAGCAGGAAAAGCAGCCACAGGAAGCGCACATCTGCCCTAGCCTCTGACGTCACTCGCCTGTGCTCCCGCTAAAACCAATGTGGAAGCCCCATCTCGGCACAAAGAGAGGACTCTATTTACATAGAGGAACCTCCCCAAACTTCACACATGTGGTAAAAGATACACTGAGAGACGTTTTAAGAGTTAATCTTCCAGGGACTTCCCAGGTGGTGCAGTAGTTAAGAATCCGCCTGCCAACGCAGGGGACACGGGTTCGAGCCCTGGTCTGGTAAGATCCCACATGCCGCGGAGCAACTAAGCCCGTGCGCCACAACTGAGCCTGCACTCTAGAGCCCGCGAGCCACAACTACTGAGCCCATGTGCCACAACTACTGAAGCTCGCACACCTAGAGCCCATGCTCCGCAACAAGAGAAGCCACCGCAATGAGAAGCCTGTGCACCGCAACGAAGAGTAGCCCCCGCTCGCCACAACTAGAGAAAGCCCGTGCGCAGCAAGGAAGACCCAACGCAGCCCAAAAATAAATAAATGAAAAAAAAAAAAGAGTCACTGAAAAAAAAGAGTTAACCTTCCAGACTGTGATAACAATACGAAAACAAAGCCTTTTAAAATTCACTCCAGGGACTTCCCTGGTGGTCCAGTGGTTAGGACTCCACGCTTCCACTGCAGGGGGTGCGGGTTTGATCCCTGGCCGGGGAACTAAGATCCCCCATGCGGGGAAAGAAAAATAATCACTCCAGCCCAGGCTGAGCAGGCGGCCTCATGGCACAGTCCCTCCAACTCAGCATGATTCACAAAGAGCCCGACAAGAGCAGCAGGGGCCTCGGAAGCTGCCCTGGGGCGTCAGCCAGCAGGTTTGTGGAGGGGGCCTCAGATGACTGCCAACAGCCTGCCTGCCCTGCAGCGCCCACTTGGAGCCCCGACACCAGCCACCTGCGGGGCGACCACAACAGCTCTGCCCCGGCCCTGGCGCCAGCTGTCTGAGAGTCCCGGGCCACAGGGTCCGATGGGGGGTCTGGGGTGGGAAAGGGTGCCTCTGACACCCCCTCTGACTGCTTGCAGCGAGGCGGGAGACAAGAGATACTCAAAGTCCTGAGGCCAAGGAGGAGCTGACTACTCAGTGCTCTCACTGCAGAGCACAGAATACCACATGGGGCCGAGACGCACCTGGTCCGACTCACAAGACCCAGTGGGCACAAAGGCCCCCACGCTGGGAGGGGCGACCCCTCAGCAGGCGCCCCCAAAAGAGGGGAAAGGGGCTGAAAAAAGGAGTGACCGAGGGGGCAGCACCCCGTCACCAAGGGGGGAAAACAAGAAAGGAAAGCCCCGCGTGCCCCGCCGTCCCTTTTCCCATTTCCGAGGATCGCAGAAGGCTGTCCATCTGCCCGCTAACCTGCTCCCGCAGGAGGGGCCTACCTTGCGGATCTGGTTGGTGGTCAGCATGATGACGTCGGTCCCTTCGTGAAAGCACTGGGAAGCAGCGAGGTAGCCGATTCGCTGTGAGTGGAACAAATGGAGACGTCAGGGGTGACAAGGGGACTGGGCGCCCTCGGGGAAGCACCCAGCCCTCCTGAGCTTCACGCCAAGCAGCCCTGGTCGGGCCGTCACAAACCAGGAGGAGGGCACCCCTCGCCCTGTCCCAGGCGTATGGTCTCTGGAGCACAGTGTCTTCCAGGGGTTGCCAAGCACGTCCTGTCGCTAACGTGTGCATCCTCACTGCCTTCTTGGCAGCGGGAGCTGCTGTTACGGCCTGACGGAGTAAGTCATCACAAGCGCCTAAACTCGGGCTGAGTGTAACCTAAAGTCACACCCGCACGTGCGGGTGATACTTAAACACACGTGCAGAGCACTGGCCCAATTTTGGCAAATACAGCATTTCGTTTCTTAACCAAGAGTAACCGGCAGGCAGGACAACCGTGTCCTTCAGGAGGACAGGAACCCGCCCTCGGCAGTGACCCGTCGGCAGGACACAGCCTCAGCCGCCGCAGGGTGTGTGTTCCCAAGGAAAACTGAGCCAAGCCAGGAAAGCCACGGGACACCCCCAAATGGGCTGTGGGCACTGAAAACCACTTTTCAGAATATTTACTAAAGCAGAAGACATGCTTATTTGTTATGATATCAAGTAAAAAGAATACAATGTCCCAAACTGCGCACGAGTAGGATCGCTGAGACGCCAAGAAAAAACAAAACGCTCAGAGGGTCCTAAGAGACACCGGGACAAATGACAAGTGGTGGCCTCTCGGGGAGACGATCAGTGTCTGCTTATTTTTTTGAAGAGTCACAAATTTAATCTGTATTATGAAACACATAACCAATCCTACAAACCCGAATTTCACTGACACTACTTAAAATGTAAAGAAAAACATGATACAAATAGTGCTAAGACCTAACTGGACAGAAGTGGTGATGGGAATGGGTCGCTGGTGTCTGTCACTGTGTCCCCTCCCAGCATGGCCTGCGTCACAGGACGGACACCCTCCTCCCCCAGGACCCCACCCACAGGGCTCAGGCCCCAGAGCGAGCTGGTTCCCTTCACCTTGAATGTGAACTTGGAGGCGCTCATCACTTCTATGATGTTGAAGGCAGCCCAGCTGATGTCATATCCTAGCATCTGCAGCTGCGGAGGAAAGAGGCCGATTCTCACGTACCTGCCCCAGCTCCCCACGCCCATACACTCTGGGGAGATTCATTTCTTTTTCTGACAGGTGAGTCTTCACATTTAAAACCAAAGTGACAGGTTAATAACACACTAAAATAATGCCCCTGATAAATAAACACCTGTGGTTGAAATACCAGCATTACATGGGTTAAAATTCCCCACAAGGACCGGTAAACGGGCAGGCCATTCATCTCCCTTCTCTGACCAGGGGAGGCCAGCATGGGGTGCCTGGCCCAGGCTCACACCCCGACCAGGGACTGCAGGGCTCCACCCACCAGGCTTCGGGGCCCAGCCCGCAGGGCAGTCGTGAAAGCAGGGGCGCTCCCGCCCCTCCATGTGGGGAAGGCCCACTGGATGGGGCCCCAGCTTGCCCTGTGCCACGTGATCCTCACGCATGCCTCGCCCTCCACCCCAAGTCAGCCCGGAGTGTGCCCCCAGGCTGACGCCTGGAGCGGACGGTGTCCATCAGTGATGGTGGGACGGATGGACGGACAGCAGGGGGATGCTTGAGCCAGACCCGGCCTGGCAGAGCGAGCGGCCCGGCACTCACGTAGGTCAGCTTGCAGACCGCATTTGCTTTCACTGCAATGTTGTCTTGCTTCAGCTCTTGCTTGATTTCATCAATGCACTGAGAGATATACTTTGCCTAAAAGGAAAAAAAAATTGAAAAGTTGCAAGTGTCTGGCTAAAACCTAAAGAAGCCAGACACAAGAGGTCACACAGTGTGCAATTCCATTTAGATGAAACGTCCAGAGCAGGCAACTCCAGAGAGGCAGAGGGGAGTCCTGGTTGTCAGGGGCTGGGGGAGGGGGAGAGGGAGGGTGATGGAATGCTCTAGAATTCAACAGAACTCTGTGAATATACTAAAAACCACTGAATTACACATATTAAAGGGGTGAGCTGAATGGTATGTGAATGATAACAAGGCTGTTATCCTGAAAAGCCCTGTCAGTGCAATAAGCTGCCTGGGATCCCCCAAAGCCCTCCTCCCAAGGGGCAGGGGGCCGCGAGAGAACAGGAGTGGCCTGGGCTGATCTAGCCTGAAGCAGGCACACTGAGCTGTGGGAATTCTGCTTCCCTTACTCGTGTGTATATCTGACATTTTCTAGAATGAAAAGTTTTAAAACTTAGAACAAAAAGAATAACCATTCCAACACAGAGCATTAAGACACGGAAAAGTTCTTAGTCCTCCAGTTTAGCCCTTTAACCAGCTGTGAACGAGAGAAAGTGCAAGCCCAGAAGAGATCTCACGTCCCAGCGCCAAAGGCCCATCCCTCAGCCCGCATGGCCAGGGGCGGCAGGTCCACCTCGGTCCCACGCTGCCGTGACCGGGGAGCCCCGCCCAGCACGGCCACCCACGCGGGGGGCCCCACTGGCACCCACAGCAGGAAGGGCCTGGCCACCCCAGGAACCGTGCCTGTTGGGTCCCTCCCATCCACCTCCACGCGGCCCAGGTTCATTACTGGCCTGGGCAGCCGTCCTCCTTCCCCACACCGCACATCACAGAGCCGGGGCCCAGCAGGTGACAGGCCGCGCCGGGGCCTCACCCCAGGCACCTGTCACAGCGCTTCATGTAACTCCACTCGTTTGAACCCCCTCCGTGCCCCCGTCCAGGTGAGCGCGCTGGTGCCTTCCAGCTCCTGCAGGGCCAGGGCTCACTGCCCATGTGCAGCGCTGCCCCCCGTGGGCAGGAGCACCCATGGGTCCCCTGGGAGGGCCCCTCGCTGGCCTCTCGCTTGCTCTGGGGCTGGCCACCCAAGAAGAGCGTCGCGGCCCTCCCGCAGGCTTCTCAGGGCCTGTCTGACGGGGTCTGTGTGCACGCCCCGCTGGCCTCCTTATGACGGACGCTGCAGCGTTGTCAGTGCTCGGCTGCGCTGCCATCATGCGTGTCTACCCACCCAGCAGCGCAAGGGCTTGGATCCTTCCCACTTTCCGGCTCCCGTGACGCACACTGCCGTGGATGTGTGTATACAGGTGCCTGTGTGGACACCTTTTCGATTCTCTTCAGTTTCCTCACTACCCCAGCACTTGTACTAAAACACGGATCAAAAGGTCAGTACCGACACACGCGGTCCAGAGCGAGGAATGTGCCCCATGGGGCGGCAAGGCTCCACCCCCAGAGCCGCACAGAAGTCCCACTGGCAGTCCCAGGAGAGCCCAGCCCTGCCTAGAGACGGGTCGTCACTCAGGGCTGGGAGGAGTGTGGTGCCTAGCGCTCCCGTCACCCACCAACAGTGGCATCACCTAAACTTGCCAGGCTAGCGAGCTCAGTGACCTCGCCCAAGTGGCTGCACCCTCCCCCCATGTCACCCCAGACCACTCGTAGGCCCAGCACAGGCTCCCGGGGAAGGCACCACCCTGAGAGCACTCTCAGCGAGCGTCTGATGAATATTCCATGACCAAGAGTCAGACAATGGAACATGGGTCACCAGATCCTTCCAACGGGCTTCCAGTTACTAATCCCCCAGGCGCCTCAGTTCCCATCCCAGTGCACGATAACCCCTTCGTGCACCCTGGATGTGCTGTTAATGATTCAAAAGGGAAAGAACAGGGAGATGATCCCAAGCGTGGGAGAACAGGCCCAGCACACAGCGCTGTGGGAGATGGTGTGCAGGTCCCAGGTGCCAACTGGTGCACACGCATGCACACACACACGCTGGCCCCTCAACGCCCAGATGTCCATCCACTGGTGAACAGCCAACACGGTGCACTCTCTGCACAAATCTATTTTCTAGGTGGCCCAATGACCTCTCAGCTTTCAGAAAGCCAGGCAGAGTCCACTCCTGGTAATGTCTGCGCAGCCACCGTCAGACCACGCCTCCCACCAGCACTGTTTGGAGACAAATGTCCAGGCAGTGCAGGACAGGCGAGACCACTGGTCCTGCCCCGGCTTTGATCCTGAGAGCCAGGCAGAGCAGGGAGCAGCCTGGGCAAACGCAGCTGCTGGGAAGTGAGGGGGGAATGGGGGCGGGGGGTGGCACACCCTCACGTGAACTCTGCACCCACCGCAGCACTCCAGCGGCCTCCTGCCCACTGTAGGAGAGGCTGAGCCAAACTTCCAGCCCAGACAAGCTCACTGCCCCTAAAACACATCCCCTCTCTGCAAAACCAACACTCTACTGAGAATACAACAGAATCCAGTGTCTACAACATACCAGCCACAATGTCCGGGGCACAAGCCAAAATTATTCAAATTAGAAACAGGAAGGACCTCCCTGGTGATGCAGTGGTTAAGAATCCGCCTGCCAATGCAGGGGACATGGGTTCGAGCCCTGATCCAGGAAGATCCCACATGCCGCAGAGCAACTAAGCCCGTGTGCCACAACTACTGAGCCTGCGCTCCAGAGCCCATGAGCCACAACTACTGAAGCCCGCACACCTAGAGCCCGTGCTCCGCAACAAGAGAAACCACCACAATGAAAAGGTCATGCACCACAATGAAGAGTAGCCCCTGCTCACCACAACCAGAGAAAAGCCCGCATGCAGCAACAAAGACCCAACACAGCCAAAAATTGATTAGTTAATTAAAATAATAAAAAAAGAAACAGGAAAACATAACCTATACCCAAGGAAAAAAAGAGACAGCCAATGAAGACGGGCCCTGAGGTGACTCTGGTGATGATGAACGCATTCATTTGCTGAGATTTCAACACAGCAACTGTAACCATGCTCTCATGACCAAAAAGAAAATATGCTCCTAATGAACAGAAAGAGAGGAGATCTCAGCAGAGAAAGGAAAGTGACACAGAACAACCAGATGGAAACCCTAGAAATGAGAAACAATTTCTGAGGTAGAACAGGCACTGCGTGGACTGGACGGGGAGCTGGAGCTGAGAGGAACGGGGAACAACAGGGCCCACCCAGTCTGAAGGGAGGAACGTCAGGCAAGGCTGTGGCGCACCCAAGGTGTAGCGTGTGTACAACCGGGGTCCCAGGGGAGGAAGGACAGAGGAAATATGTGAAGACCTAACAGCTCAAACTCCCCCAGACGTGGCAAAAGACATAAACGTACAATTTCAAGAAGTGCAGCACCACCCCCCTAAAATAGGAAATATAAAAGAAAATCACACCTAGACATATCACAGGCAAACTGCTGAAAACTGAATATAAGGAGAAATTCTTCAGAGGAGCCAGAGGAAAAGGGTGTGCTGCTACAGGGGAGCAGGGGGCTGAGGGAGGTGGGAGGACTCCAGGCCCAGGGCTCTCCATCCAAGAACACCCCTAAGGAATGAAGGCAGAGTAACATCCCTGCACCTCGGAGCACCCACGGGGGTGACAAATGAGCCCACAGGAAGTGGCTGACCTGTAGGAAGACCCAGCCGCAACACTAGTTTTTAGCTATAAGACGAGTGCACAGGCTCATGGTTCCTACAGGCAGGAAAAGGGAGGAATGGGTTTTAAAATATTAAAATAATGTTTCAGGAGGGTGGAGTCAAGATGGCATACTAGAAGAACGCGGAATTCGCACCTCCTCACAACTAAGAGCACCTACCAGACACCGGTGGGGGACCACAGACACCTAAGGGGACGGGAGGAACCCCCAGCGACTGGTTGTTTCCATTACAGTTTTATTTTTCCTAATGTATTTTTGATCTCTCTAATTTTATTTTGTTTTTTATTCTTTGATATTGTACTGCTCCTTTTTTTCTTTCTTCTTCCTTTTTTAAATTTTTCTTACTGCACCACAAAGCTTGGAGAATCTTGGTTCCCAGGTGGGAGGTCGGGCTGGAGCTCCTACGGTGGGAGCTCCAAGTCCAAACCGCTGGACGAACAGAAAACCTCAGACCTCTGATGAATATCAATCAGATATTCAATATCAATCAGAGTGAGGCCTCCCGGAGGTCCTCATCTCAACACCAAGACCCAGCTCTATCCAAGTGCCTGCAAACTCCAGTGCTGGATGTCTCAGGACAAACAATCAGTAAGACAGGAATACAGCACCAACCATCAAAAAAAAAAAAGAGAAGACAAATTTGTTTCAGATGAAGGAGCAAGGTAAAAGCCTACAAGGCCAAATAAATAAAAACAAAACAGGTAACCTACCTGAAAAAGAATTTAGAGTAATGATAGTAAAGATGATCCAAAATATCAGAAACAGAATGGAGAAAATACGAGAAACATTTAACAAGGATCTAGAAGAACTAAAGAGCAAACAAACAGTGATGAACAACACAACTACTAAAATTAAAAATACTCTAGAATGAATCAATAACAGAATAACTGAGGCAGAAAAACAGATAAGTGAGCCAGAAGATAAAATGGTGGAAATAACTGCCAGGGAGCAGAATAAAGAAAAATGAATGAAAAGAATTGAAGACAGTCTGAGAGACCTCTGGGACAACATTAAAGCACCAACATTCGAATTACGGGGGTCCCAGAAGAAAAGAGAAAAAGAAAGGGTCTGAGAAAATATTTGAAGAGATTATAGTCAAAAACTTCCCTAACATGGGAAGGAAATAGTCAATCAAGTCCAGGAAGCACAGAGTAGTACCATACAGGATAAACCCAAAAGAGAAACATGCTGAGAGACACATATTAATCAAAGTATCAGAGATTAAATACAAAGAAAAAATATTGAAAGCAGCAAGGGAAAAGCAACAAACAACATGCAAGGGAATGCCCATAAGGTTAACAACTGATTTTTCA